CATGTTTCAAACCCACCCGTGGCTTGAATCCCTCTGACTCAAGCTCGTTAACGGTCCGAGCTTGCCTACGGCGAACTCGCTGAGGAATATAAGTGCTGGATAATAAAAGGCAACAGCAACAAGGGGTAGTATATGCACAAACACATTGGGAAAACAAGAAAGCATGAATTTCATCCATCAACCTGTTCTAAGACAATATATTTGAACAAAGTTATGATTCCACAATAAGATAAGTCATAACATTACATCTGAAACAAAATTAGTCAAAATGTCTTAAAACTACTTCAACCCTACAAGCCTAGTCCAGCAAGCTGAAGGACGCAAGCTCCGCTTTAGCAGCGGCTATTCTCCTTGCATAGCCCTCTCGAGCCTTGTCCTCTGCTTTCTTCTGGGTTCGAGCCTCGAAGGTTGAAGTGGTAGTAGCATCCTCCTGGAGCAAGGTCTGAAGGCTTCGGGTTGCCTCTCTAACAGCTCTACAGACTTTCCTACTCTCAAACTGCAGCCCTCTCAGCGTCGTCTCCTCTTGAGCCAGCTCAGCCCTCAGGCGGGCAATGGTGGAAGTAGAGGTGTCCATCTTGGCCTGCAGTAAGCTCTATCAGCCTGTCAAAAGAGCGATATGGGACTCCAAGTGAGCTATGTCCCTAGCTCAGGCCTGAGCCAAGAGTTTCTCCACATCAGGCTCTAGGCCCCCCTGCAGAAAATTCTCAAAGCGTGTCAGGTGCGACTCCAAATGAAGGAGCCTCATTATGCAGCAGGAGGCAAGTCGGGATTCGCCCAACCGCCTAATGTCAGCCACACGGTCTAGGGGAGACTGTCTGAAATCCGCATAAGTCCCCCAACCGAGGTCACTTACTTTTCGGCATTCCTCTAATTCATCAAGCCGCTGAGCCTGTTAGGGAAAGGAGCCCTGAAGAAGCAGCTATTACGATAAGCGGGATCTCGGGGTAAAACCCTATTTCTGGCTGAGGAGCGGCCTGCAAAGCGGGTGCGGTCGTAGCTTCCTATGGTTCATCATCAGAGACGAGTATGGGCTCAGGTTTAGGCTCCCCAATAGCTGGCGCCCCCTCTCGGGCTACACAACAAACAAAGAAATCAAAGTCATGGACTCATCTTGCTCATGTGACCCTTAACCTCCCAGGAGGGTTATAAATAGAGGTACCTCTAGTAGTGGCGGCGGCCTCAGCGGCAGTAGCGGCGAGGAGGAATCCCCCCTCTCCTTCTTCGAAATGGTTACTTTTGTTCGCAGAGCCATCTCGAACACAGTAAGAGAGAGTTTAAGATTTTCTCAGATGAAGATAGTAAACGACGTGACCTCCCTAACAAGGAAGACGAACACTATATACGCGCGGCTCAAACACTTGCCCACCGTTCAATTCGACAGTTCGAACGATCGTAGGCAAAGAGAGAAGATTCAGAATCCCGCATGAGCAGTTGAGATCTGGCAGTTTTAAACACGATCTATAGCCAACGGCTCAGATCAGGCATGGAAGACGAAGAGCCTCCATTATGCCGCCTTTAATGTGAAGCGATGTGCGTACATCGTCTTAGCTGACGAGCACATAGATCCGTGAATGGGCACGTAGCCCGCCCAATTCCAAGCTCACCTACAACTCGATTTCACCCCGCACATAGATCCGTGAATGGGCACGTAGCCCGCCCAATTCCAAGCTCACCTACAACTCGATTTCACCCCATAACTCGAGTTCACCTAGCTCAAACATGCATAATGGTCTTAGCTCACTTACCGCTTTGACCCGTCGGATGTGTCGGACGCGCCCAATTCAAGCTCGCCTTATTATTTGGGTTCACAGATAATTTCAACCCGCCTAATGCGAGTCCGCCTGAGATTTGAACCAAATTGGAATTTAGCCACGGCTCAGACTCGTCTCAAGTTCGCCTACAATTCGAACTTGTTTAATTCGAAGTTCGCTTATAGCTTGAACCACCCAGCGGTCGAGTTCGCCATGCGCTAGAACTCGCCGGCTTCGAATCCGGCCGTTTGTCGATATGACTCACCCATATTGCAGATCACTCACCGGTTTGGGACTCACCACTGCCGGAACGCTATTAATATATATAAATATATATATATATATATATATATATATATATATATATATATTATACTATATATATATATTATATATATATATATATATATATATATATATATATATATATATATATATATATATATAATCATATATATATACATGCACTATGGAATATACGGGGGGCAATGTTTGAAATGATTTCATTCATGAAGAGGGATTTGGATACAACGATATGATCAAATAAAGTTACAAATCTCTCTATCGCAACTCCACCTCCTTAGGACCTCTTTACAGATGTCCACTTCAGAGCATGAGAGTATGTCCTGGACGTTGGCCCTCACCTCTTTGAGGGCCCGATCTTTCTCCTCGACCTTATTAGCAACCAATCGTTGTCGGGACCGGAGCTCTTCCAATTACCCCATCAGCTATTCATGAGCCTGTTCCTTAGTGGCCAAGAGTGTCTGTGCCTTAGTAATAGCTTGCTTCACCTTCGCTATCTCCGCTGATAGGCCGAATATACTAGAGTTCACCATGTGACGCTCTAGATCCGCCCTCTCATCCTTGGCGATAATATGCTCCAGTTCCTCTTTCAGTTGTTCCTCCTTTAGCAGTATCTCTAATAACATCTTCTCCCCTAGTCTATGCTCCCACTCCTTTAAGGCCATTTGGACAATATCGGATGCAAGGTGAATGATCTCGGAGCCCTTAGCATGGAGGGCGAGGAGCTTTCAGAAAGTCAGCTCTGCCTCCTTCAAGCGTGCATAATACGGAGTAGCGGTAGAGGCACAAAGCATGTTGACCAAGAAGCCCATGTGAAAGTCAATAATCTCCTTGAACTCCTCGAAAGGACAACTTTCTTCCAACGCAAGCTTGATACTATCAGCAAGGGTGTCCTGGAAGTTTGTAATGGCTCAATCCACTGACCTCTTACATGAGCGAGCCACAGCGAGAGAGAGTATTGCCTTCATCTGCCGCCGATGTCACCATCAGGCGGCTATAGCCAAAGCTGATTAGTAGGCCCACAATTGGCGCGATCAGTAGTGCGTAGGACAACCGGCTAAGACCCAAGGCCTCGGCGATTACTCATTGAAGTCTCAACGCAGATCTGACGGCCGTGGCGCTCAACGCGTCCACTAACGTAGTAGCAACCGACGAAGTGACGACCAGCTGAGCGGAGGTCTCCTCCTGAGTCAAAGCCTTCGCCTACTAGGTCGGTGCTTCATCATGAACCAGTTTCTCCTCAAGAGTCAAGGCCTCCCCTTGCTGGGCTGGCACTTCTTCATGAGCTGACGGCTCCTCCTCCTGGCTTGACGTCTCACCGTGGGTCGAAGCATCATCTCCTTCGTCCCCTTCTTCTTCTCCTTTATCTTCCTCCCCTGGTGACCGATTAGCCCTAGAGGGAGAATCCTCTTTACTAGTTTCTCTAAAGGTCAAGTCAGCTACAAATATGGAAGAAGTGTCAGCAGCAACCGGTGTAAAAGTCACAACTAGCAAGTCGACATCAGCGGGTCGACGAATCTAGACATCACTCTTACCTGGATCGTCAAACTCCTCTTCGACTTTGTTCCCTTCCTCCTTTGCGGAAGAAATAGGGATCACCTCCTCTGTCGTGCCTACGTTAGATCAACACAAATGTCAGGTGATACAAGTCAACTTTGTACCCGAAGAGAGAGCATTAAGAGGTTACCTCCAGGTACGGTCGTTGAAGTGGTTGATGCCCCTACATGCTGCCCATCTACAAGTGTTGATAGGGCAGCCTCCGAAGCTAACAGAATCATCCCCGATGAAGCAACTGGTGTAGGCATAGTAGCCTTAGTCACAGAGGTGGTTACCCCCTGTTTTCGTCGAAAATAGTCTTCATTATCGAATTTATTACAACCGTGATCGTTTACAATGAATTCAAACAACAAAAATAAAGATTACAACTTTCTAAAAAATAAACACAAGAACTATTTATCAACTCTTGCTTGCATAGGGACTTCGCCTGTGTCGGGGATGTTGATATCTGTGGATGATCACGGATCATATCCGGTTGTCGGAAAATTGACAAAGTTCCTACTTCACCAAGGAAGTATTCGCTTAAAGCACTGAAATTGACCAAGAAAAATCAGTAGCTCTTCTTAAGATTAAGACTAAGCCTAATCTCAAGGAACGGGCGGAGGAAATACGGGTTCAGATCCTTAGAAAGCCTTCTTCTTTATGCTAAAGTTCGTCGGGATCTAGTTAACATTTGCTGAAATTTCGTGCTCCTTGACTCCTCAATCCAGCAGCACCTCGTCTTCTTGATAAAATTCCAGATCTGTAGAGTGGAGGCCTTAGGCTTATATTTATAGGCCTCAGATGTGGGTATTTGGATGAGAATGAGCGATTTGGCCTTATCTTCAGTCAATATCGGTCTAACCACGTTTGTGGATGATATCAAGTCAGTTGAGAACCCCCGGAATAGATAAATCCTATGAAAACCACTTAAAAACAGTCAAAATTGTGTTTGGGGGTCGAAGCTCTGCCGCCCGGACATCGCGGCTCTGTCACCGTGGTGACAAGCCGCGTTTCCAGGGCCGCGGGTCACGCTTGGTGACCGTGCGGCCGCGGGTCCCTCTTGAGTGCATCCGCGCCTGCACAGCGGTCACTAATGGGATGCACCCACATGGCCTCGCGGCTCACTATGATGGGTGACCCAGGCGGACGCCGCCGGTCCACTTAGGTGGTGACCCGCGCCCCCACGCGAGTTGAGGCTTTTTCTCTCTCTTTTCACCTTTTGGTGTTTCCGGACTTTCCTAGACATGTATTCTCCATCGTTTTGTGTATTTGTTCGACTCGTTAGCTTGTACGCTTCACTGAGGGACTAACCGATGAACGCGTCGGTCACTTGGGGTTGGCTGATGTGCGTGAGCTGACAGACGTGCGCTTGTTGTCCTACGCGCGCGAGCTGACCGACGTGCGCGAGCTGACTAACGAGCGCGTTCGGTCACTTCAAGTTGATCGACGTGCGCAAGCCGATTGACGTGCGCAAGCTGACTAACGTGCATAGCGGCCAATTGGATTATCATTCTTGACTCGGATGGTGACATCCACTCTTCGTTTTGAGCTGCGTGTGGGAACTCATAGGTAATTTTAGATGCCTACAGATACCCCCTCCAAAGTGTTTCAACCTCATTCTTTTATAGAGGAGTCTGAAATGCTTTGGATATGGTAGACCCCCACCTTCAATCGGTGTCAAAGGACCTATAACTGGCTTCAGTTCTTAACTTCTCCACTTTTCAATCTATTCAGTATTTTGTCGAATAGCTAAAATTCTTCTGGTGTTGTGTTTATCATCTGACTGTTGTCAAAATCTCGAATTGAAATTGATGAGTTGATTTTGGCTCATGTCATTGAGTTAACTTTGAACTAATTATCTGTGTCGCAACGCGTTAACTGACATTAACTCGGAACTACGCGTTGACCGATGTTGACCGGTGTTGACCTAGGGCTACGCATTGACCGACGTTGACCTAGGACTATGTGTTGATCGGTGTTGACCTTATGGTTTCGTATCGATTAGCATTGACTTTCATCGCAACGTGTGGCACGCGTTAACCCGAGGAGGACCAGTTTATACTCATATACTCCTAGGAGTTTCAGGAATCAGTTTAACCTCGTGTACCTGTCGGAGGTTGTCGGGTTATCCTTAAGAATATTACGTGTAATATTCTCCAGGAACTTCCCCTCAAGAGTGGGAAACAGTTTAGACTCGTATACCCATTGAAGAATGGTTGTGTTCTGGATGTATCGAAAGTGGGCGAAAATGCCGTGAGACTATCTTGGAGTATGAAAGTGCTTCCCGGATATCTCGTAAGTGGACAAAAGAGGGCGAAAATACCCGATATTATGAAAATGGGTCTCGAACATCTCCAAAGCGGGTGAAAGTAGGTGAAAACACAGCGAAAATGACCTTCGGACTAAACCTGCTTGCGGGTCATCCATACCCAACCCGCACGAACACGGGTCAGGTCAAGGCGACCCGCACGAATGCGGGTCAGGTCGATCCGACCCGCGCGAACGTGGGTCAGGTCAATCCAACTCGTGCAAACGCGGGTCGGGCGGTAATCCGACCCGCACAAACGCAGGTCGGGGGTTCATTTGGGGATTTAAGTCCCGATTCTTGTCTCCTTCTCCATTTTTCTTCTACTTTCGGTTTTCCTCTTCCTCAAGCTTTACCCCTTCAAGAACTCCTCCACTTCAAGAATTCCAAATGAGATCAAAGCTCCCCTCTTTAAATTCCTCATCTCCTTCTCTGCAATCCCTCTAAAATCAACTGAATTTGTGAGTTTGGGAACTAGGGTTTCGGCCGACTTCGATTTGGGTTCGATCACTTGTGGGTTTTGTTTCGATGGACCTCTCCTCCTTCTCAATTCCTCTTCGAATCCACGTAAGCTTCAACATCCTCACTTAAATTTTGATTGAATCTTTGAGTTTTGTCTTGATGGTTGAAACCCTAGTTCTTGAATTTGGGGAAAAAACTAAAATTTGATCTTAGGTTTTGAATAATGGTCGAATTTTGAGGTTTTGGTTATGTGCATGACTTGATAGTTGAAGCCCTAATCTGTGCATGGCCGAATTTTTTAGCTTTGAGTTTTTTTTGTTTGTTTGTGAAGATAACTAAGCCAAAAATCAAACCCTGACTTGTGTGTTGATCAAGAACCGAACTTATATATGACTGAACCCCGACTTGTATTTGAGTGTAGCCGAGACCTTGCTTGACTTGTGTGGGAATTCTAATGTATTTTTTTTGGCTCTGAATATGACTCGAAACCCATAGCTTGTACATTGATTGAAACCTAAACTTGGTTGCTTGGCTTGATTGCATGTGTAAGAACCCAGTCTGAGTTTGACCCTTGAATATCACCTGATGCTTGATTGTCTAATTTCGATTCTAGTTGTAACCGAAGTTCTTGGGAAATCATCTAAACTCGACACTGAGTTGTGAATTCGTAAGTTTGTATGTGGATATGGCTAATACCCTTTGTTTGCCTTTGTGACCCTCGACCTGATTTTGAGAACCTCCTCGTTCCTCAAACTTAATTTCTTGTGATGACCCTTCACGTAATAGCTAATATTTCACCTATGGTTTTGAACCTTCAGTCATGGACAAAAATTGACCTTGTATTTGGGTATGGCTAAGACCTAAGCCTGATTTTGCTTTTGTGCATATTGTACTTTCTCGCTTGGTTTCGATTGATGATCAAACCTATTCGCTTGCTTGATTTGGACCTAGCCTGGAGTTATCACCTCAGTTTTGTGCACTGATAGAACTCCATGCCCTAATTTTAATATCCATAGGTTTAATTGGATTTTTAACCGGAAAATCCTAGTTTTTATAGGATTTCAGCTAAAATTCACAATTTTCCTTTTATTATTGGATATATTCATCTTGATTCTCGGTGTAACTTAGCTGTTGATCATTGTTGTAGATTAACCATGTCGACGAGGAGATCACGCTTTTCGAGGAGCCGCTCGGCCACTCAGTCTCCTGAAAGGGAGTCTCTGTCTTTCACTAGTAAGCCTTTATAACTTTCTGCTCATGGATTCAATATTTATCATATCATATTGCATATTTCATCCCCACTTTGTTCTCCTTGGTGAGGCAATTGGGAAGAGTTGAAACCCTCCATCGTGGGGGTTGATGCCTATCGGATATGTTTTGCTTGGTCAATACATGTTTTAATCAATTTTGGGGCAATTTCCTGCTGTATTATACTCCATCGGACGATTGGATTGTTGTGTCATTCATGCAACAATGTATAGTGTGCTTCACATGTATAACATAGCTTAAATCGTCTTGCCTAACTATCAAACACTTTTCTTTTTTTGTTATGTTATATCCCAACTTTGTCCTCCTTGGTGAGGCAATTGGGAAGAGTTGAAACTCTCCTTTGTAGGGGTTGATGCTTATCAGATACGTTTTGCTTGGTCAAAACGCATCTTAAGGCAATATGGGGTGATTTTCTACTAAATCATATTCCGTAAGATAGGGTGTATCACTGCGGTATTTGTGTGACAATGTACGTTATCTTGTGTGTTCGTGATACAGTTAAAATCATCTCGCCAATTACAAGGTAGTGACTCTATCTCACGGATTGGTTAAAAGAGTTCAACGTCCTGTGTTGCCTTAATATTTCTTCATAACCGCGTTTAATAAATATGCATTATTCGTTTCAGTTGAATACCATGCGATGCCATTTTCTCAGTTCGAGATAGATTGCCGTAGGATTAGATATTACACTACGGTTGACGATCCGGTGTCGACTCCGCCCACTTCTCAGTTTGCTTTGGACCTCCCAAATGAACTCTCTAGGTTAGTACGGGAAGGGGGTCACTGCATCACGCGCCAGCTAATTACAGATGATCCGTTCGTGGAAGATACAGATCCTGCTCATCCTTTAAGGAAGACACATTATTTGTTCGGCGATTCCGTGACAAATCCAACCACCATAACCCTCAGGGATGAGCGGTGGTTATATAGTGATGCTACAGCTTGCTTATATCTTCCCTCGTTCCCTCGTCATCATTCACTAACGGAATTACAGAGACAAGCAGTGACTCGACAGATATCATGGACTCTAACAAAGAGCATACTAACATTCCTTCTGGATACGCCACCAGCCACTCATTCCCGGGTTCTAGAGGTAGAAAACACATCATGGGATTACATCCCAATGTGATGGGATTGGAGGACCCACCTAAAGGGGAGTTACCTATAGTGGCTCGCATAGTGAAGAATCACCTTGCCATGCTAGGGCGAGAGCTACATGTCGAAAATTAT